AAGTGCCTCAAAATCGCTTAAAATAATTTTTAAGAATCTTTCCGTGATTTATAGGCTGTCGGAAGGGGTCCCACGTGCCCCCATGCGCAGCCACTGCTCCTGGGGAAGGACAAAATGACCGGTTTGACCGGTTTTGAAATAGTTTTAACCGATTCCAACCTGACCCGTTGAACCGACCCAAACCTTTGACCGACCCATTGACTGTTGACCGGCATTGACCACATTTGACCAAAACTTTGACTGGCTTTGATCGGGCATTAAACGACCTTTGACTTTGACCGAGTATACCTATCCTAACATTTTTCGACATTCCAAATCCGATTTCGCAGTCCGTTTTTCGAAATTTGAACCCAAAGGCCTCAAAATTGCCAATCAAACTCGTTGACTTTGATTTTGACCGAAAATTCCAAATTTTTGAAAAGTCATATTTTATGCTTTCGACGTCCTAAATCCGAATCCGAAGTCCGTTTCGCCAAATTCGAACCCGGTAAGATGTTTTTAACTGATTTATCATCCGATTCGATCCGTTTTTTTCAGAATTAAGCTCCGTTTTTTATGTAATTTCTGTTGATATGGATCGAAGGAAATATTAGAAGATGATTTCAAGATCAAAGGCGTTCGAATGGAATTTTTATGGTCGAGCAGTATTGCACAAAAATCGAGGTAATACTTTACTACCTCTTTATGCTTTATGGAACATGTGAATATTGATAAATGCATGAATAAGATAATGTTGGTCTCATTTGTGTAGTTAATTATTTTCTACACTCGATTCGAATACGGTAGAGATTTGGTAATTGATTATGGTTCAGAGGACTTTTATAAGAAATTGAGGAATTGTTAGAATTAAATTTCAAGTTTTGTGTTCGGTAATAAAGAAATCAATCTGGATTTGTATCTTATAATTTATTCCATCAAAGGTCAAATGTTAAAGATACTTGGATGAGAAATTATGAGAATACTCCGATAGGGTAAAATTACGAAAATACCCTTATGTTATAAAAAGACAAGATTTGACTATGAAAGTTGGATAAGAGGTTTTAAAGACATGTTGATCTGATGAAACTACTGATGTGCATAAGAAACGCTAGTTTTGCTTAGAAAATATAGATAATCGGTTTTTAACCCAAGAAGATTTGATCAAGAATCTAAGAGTCTGTTAAGGGAATCATTTCAATATCAGAGAATGTTCAGGAAAGAAATTAATCATGGGATCTCTAAATTATATTATTTGGTTAAGAGTTAATAACTGAAATTGTCTGGTTAAGAAATTATGAAAATGCCCTTGAGAGGTAAAATAGTCTGAGCTAACCCTAAATGAGAGAGTACTTTAAGGATTCGTACTTAACTCAATAAATTACGGATGTAATGGTTAAGATCCGTATTTGTACAGAAAATTCCTGATAACATGTTTGTAACATCTAAGAAGGCAGTTGACCTGAAAATCTCTGAGTTAAGAGCATATACTTGAAGAATAAATTATTAATGGTGCTCCTTTATAAGAATTGTTAGAAAGGATTGGAATGGATGATAAGTTTAAATTAAGTAATAAGATTGGACGGAAGGAAAATATTTAAATACTCGAAATATGTAAAATGACTAAAATACCCCTGGAATGAGAATGACCCAAGAATATCACCAAGCCCAGGAATGAATGGTTATCCTTAAGTTTTGAAATGAATGGAAAACATTGAGCACTAAAATGACCAAAATACTCTTATGGTCTAGACTAAATAAATGTCTTGGATTCATTAAGAAATTCAAATAAATATGAATGTGACATTGCCCTAAGTTATGGAAAACACATTATGCGGGCCGATCAACGATAATACTATGTCAGTACTTGAATGGAATAGATATCACTTGAATGCGTGTTCGTCTTCACAAGTTTGGATCGATAATAATTCTGAAAGTACTTAGCTCAGCTCAACTCTAGATCGCATTCAATACTAAGAATTTGATATTTGTTAGAAAAATCAATCTCGAAGGCCAAATTTAATTGAACGAAAGTACAATAAGTATCCGAAATTCAGAAACGTCTGGATTACCTTAAAAACCCCAAAGTAACTGGAATGGACTTGAATGCTAAATGAACTAAATAACCTCAAGGACTGAAGATTAAGTAAGTGATTGGGATGAGTCTGGAAACTCGAATAAACTTACATGACGTATCATCCTTATGGGTTATGAACCATAAATTCAGTACATCAATATTTTATGATATAGTTGAAACATGGAAATGAATTAAAAACCGTTAGAATATATGTTCGTCTCCTTAAGATCTATTCAGTGATGATTCTGAATATGATCTATGGATAAGGATTTTTGGTATTATAGAGTGAATACCAGGAAGGGAAATGAATTGATCAGTCAACAGACATTAGTTCTAAGAGTTGTTCAGCTCAAGTTGTTCGATAATCCGATCAATTGACATGGATGGTAATTGACCTGAATATTCGTTTCTTCTTTATCAACTCAAATCACTCTGGTTATTCCTGATGTACATGAAATCATAGTGGGATTCTAAAGTATCAACCTTAAATGTCTAACTAGATCGATTATTAATCGATTCTCTTCAATAGAACCTCGTTATTGGAATCCGATCAAATTGTACAAGTTTCTTGTTATACATTCTGATAACTACAAACCACCTCTGAAAAATAATTGGATCCTCTAGTGTGTTCCATATGTACTATATGACGGTTTTATATGTTTTAAAATAAGTTTTAACGAAAGTATTGATTTACTGGTTTACGAACTATGGCAACATGGTATGTGATCTCCAATTATGGTTTTCACCGAAAAATATGATTTTTTACTAATTTATGGAATCATGGAAACTATTGGTTTATGAATTATGGTACTTGAAATGTGTTATCAGGTTTCTTGTTTCACTGGAATGAAATGATGGTTATTGTTTTATGGACCATGAAAAATACTGGTTATTAATGGAATTGTTTATTGGGATATTATATGGGTAGACTGGAAGTACAGCTCTGATCAGGCTAGAAATTCCTTATGGACCTAAGGTGATCCTTGGGTAGGGTCTCAGACCTAAGGCACTCCCTTGGGTTAATCATTGGACTATTTATGGTGTACAGGTGGAAATCAATTATACGATTTATTTCATATTTACGATTTATGGATAAAACTGATTTCTACCAGATTTTCATATGGATAGGATTCTGGAGTATAGAGGCACAACCTTGATCTAGTTGGTAAGACCTTACGGACCTAAGAATACCCTTGGGCCCCAAGGTATATCCTTAGGTTGGCTCCCTTTGTTGTGTGCTTAGGGTAAGCCCTATGGACGCAGTTCTAGGGAACTGCATAATGGAGTTTGGTTGGAGGGTTCCGCTATGGTTTTAAAAGAATTATATATTTTCACTGGTTTTGATTGGAACAAACTAGACATCATATTTGATCTCCTGAAAACATCATATTATAAATGATTCCTATGAACTGTGATCTTCATGGTTTCTACTCGATGAACTGCTAATGGAATCCCAGATTATCTTGCAAACTGGTATACGTTTGATTCAATAAGGAATTTATGGCTTCACATTTATCTGCATGTCCTTTAGCATCACTTCGTAGTTTTGTATTACTGAGCTTTCCGAAGCTCACTCTATTACTCACCATTGCAGGTTAAAAGAATTGTACCAGTACAACTATCAACATCAGTAAGGGAGTTCTTCCGGCGTTGTTTACAAAGTATGGTACATGTGATTAGGGGGCATGTAGATGGTATTTTGTTTTATATACGAGTCTGAAAATCTATTTTATTTCTGAATACTGATAAATAATTTTATAAGTTTATGTTTTGATAAAAAAGTTTTAAATTTTCCGTAATACTTTACAGTGGGTCGCTCCGGTGGCCCTAATGTGACACTCTAGATCGGATCGGGTTATCCGCATCGGTCTGAGGGGGTTACATCTAAGGTGGGAAAGACGAACAATAATGCATAAAGTATGGAAACATGAATTACTCAATCGCATTGATTTAGCAAATTAGATTACTAAATTATATATCGATCAGCTGGTAACCACAGAAGTCACATATAAGTTAAATATCCTCGGGAATAGACTATTAATAGTAATTTAACTTTGAAATAGGCTTGAGATGCTATACGCATGAAAAATAGAATACACAAAGGATATCATAAAGGCAAAAACAAGAAATTAATAGATCAGTTAAAAGCATAGCAGCAGAGCCCCAAACAAAGGGAACTAATTAACAACACATAAAATATTAGGAACAAAAGGCATATTGACAGTGGAACTTACATTTTATTAAAGAACGTTTCCAATAATACTAAGAATTAAGCTTATTGATTACAAATAATAATGCATTAATGCTTACCTTTGGGACAGGAACTTCCCATATTGCCATTGCCTTCAAGTCTAAAAATAAAATTAACAACCAAAAAATTCAATGAGAATAGACTCTAACCAATTGACTAGAGAGCCACTGACTAATAAAAACTAACATACCATGGTTGTAAAAGTCAATGCCAGGGAGAAGACCCTCCACCCAGACAGTTTATTCTTGTTTCGATGTGGAAGTTGCTCCATTGACTTTGTTATCATTCTCATGACCCTCAAATCCTGATATAAACCCAAAATAAATAAAAATATTTAACCTCAGCTCCATGTTAATACAGTAAACTTTCACCTTTGAAAGCAAATAAGAGGAAAGATCCAGGCACAAAAGTGGTAAGAACTAAAGTGTAACCTCACTTTTTCCATCAATTTCATTAACAGGCTCTCCACTTAGTCCACTATGACTGATGGTCACCTCAGAACTTCTTTCAACTGGATAGGTTGTCTCGATATCTTCTTGAATTTGGGGAAATATATAAGAATGTGGAAGAGGAAGGTTCAGAGCACGAGACCAAAACATATAATTTGCCCTAGCATTACAGAAATTACGCAGTATTAACCACCAAAGTTCGAAGTGCAAGGAATGTCATCATATCATAGTCAATCTCCTTCATTGTCCCCACCCACCCCATTTTTAGAGAGAATAAGAAAGAGTTCATTTTGAGGAGATCCCTACCAAAGGAAATCTTCAAAGCATACCTCACTGCAAAAGAAGCATTAACAACAATTCATAATTGGGAAAAAAGAAAATAAACACACTTGATTCCTACTTTATTCGATGTAATTAATACCGACCTTTCTGAAACTCCATCAAGAGCAAGAAGTTTCTTCACCAAACCCTTCACTTTATCTTCGTACACAGAAATCAAATCCTTTTTCTATAAAACAATTACACTAACTTTCATCATCATGGGTAGTAAAATTACATGCATTTCATCTTCAAGAGAAACGTTAAACTATATGCTTATATTTACTCGCAATTCAGTTGCTCTATACAAGATTATTCCTCTCAATTCCAGCATTCATCATCGGTAAACCATAACGGATTCCCAAAAGTGGTGGAAAGCATATCAAGATACCTGAACCAGTCTTTAAATCCACATAAATAATAAATAAAAGAAAACTAAAAGAAAACAAACAAATATGTTAAGTACATACGGTTTCCACGAATAATACTTTCGGAGACGTTCCACAGTAAGAAGTCTTTAAATCCGTTGTTCGCTGAACGAGAGGGAATTGAAATGTAAAGGGTTGGAGTAAAATTAAGTTCGGTTCGGTAATGGATAATCCTGCAAAATATTACCTGGCACTGCAAATCAACAATCTTCACCTGCTACCACTTCGATATATCTAAGCAGTTTTCGGCTTCACGACTTTCTTCCTTAGTTGCCTCTTTGTGATCAAGCTCTTCATCCCCCAGAAGAACAATAATGCACCGTATTGCGCAACAGACTGTCATTAATGAAAGAATCAATGAAGTTTGCATGTTGTATTTCATAATGCATAGGGAAACACTTCAGATATGGACATGTAAATACCTGCAGAAAATCACCGAGCAGAGCAGCGTACTGGGGCTCTTCAGGTCGATAGTTGTAGAAGTCATAGAGAAGATGAGTGCTAACTAGCAAATACACAAACTACGGCAAAGGAAAGAACAATTAGATGGGACACGAAAGTAGAATCAAACGTAACTGCTCGGTGGAATTAACATATAACTTCATAGTTCAAACGGAACCAAAATAATCACTCTTAAGAAACAAAAATCTCACCAGGAGAAAGACTCCAAAGCCATAGCCAAATACAAATAGAATAGCACCGAGTTCTTTCAAAGCAATAGCGGCCGAAAATAATTTTTAATTTTCCTAATGCGTCCTGAAGGTAGAGGTCTTAGCTTTGTTCGCTTCATTTTTGCATCATTATTTATCTCAAAAACCTAGAGGCATGAATACCATTGGTTAACTAAAATGTCAGTCTATCTAGTTAATTCATGAAAGTAACTTAAAATACAACCACCATGTTGTCACATCCTTGCAACATTGACCAACTCAAATGTAAAAAAGCATAGTGTTCAAGAAAGAAGGTAAGAATAAATTACAATTTGCAAGTCATGAATTCGATTCCTAGAATATCAAATAATTTATAATTGTTTCTTTCCATATCCCCTTTAGCCAGGGTACTTATCTGTCACTTCTATCAATAAAGCTATGTCGATGGATTTAAATCATAACCAATGAGCTTTTGCACCTAAAAGCTATGTCTGTACATCCGTCCCGGTCCTAGTTTATACCAAGGTTAATAAAAATGAAAGAAAACAGAATGTCAAAACATAAGGGCCTTTACAAAAGTGCAAGCTTTTGCACCTAAAAGGTGCATCTTTTGTTATGAAAGAATTATATGAAAGGCAAACCTCAAGAATAATAATGCGTTTCTCCAATTTTTCACATTTCTTTACAAAACATACTTCTGAATATCTAAGAAAGAATAATTTTATCAAATATCTAAGAACCCTTAACTCCTCAAGAAAAGAATTAAAAGATCGTGCATGACAAATAACCTATTAGTTAGCATTATAAAATTGTGCATGACAAAGCATTCAATGAAAACAATCAAATATTTAAAAGATAACCTAATTCAACGAATTAGCCGAAGCAGCAACCATCATGGTTCCAGCACAAGAACAACAAAGACCCGCTAAATCAACGGCGTCTCCACTCCCTAGCACATATCCAGTCCCCGAAGTCATCACCACCAGCATACTAGTAAATCGAACCACCCAAAAAAGTCAACTTTTTTAATCAAACCTTCAAAATTTTCCTAAAAATCTTAATTGAGGTTTGACCTGAGACGAGCCTTGGAGAGCTCCCAGTAACACTGACCGTAGTGACGAGCCAGTTGGATCGCATCACTAGCTTTGAAAGTTAAAGGCCGAAAGGCATCAGATTTGTTAGCGAGAAACCTAGCTTTAAAACGGAGTCCGATGAGGGAAAAGGAGAGGGCGCCACCGATGAAGAGTAGAAACGCTGATGAGAAGGAGAAAATGTTTGGTCTACAACCGCGTTTGGAGTGAAAATTGAGATAGCAGATGCGTAATGGAAGTAATTAAAATTGGTAGAGGAAGAAGAAGGGGAAAGGATGAAAATAATGGGGAAATTAAAAAACGACTTTTACAGATGACACACAATTAAAAAGTGTACTCCGTGTTTTTGCAAATTTTTTAGATTATGACTATTAAATATGACACACATTATTGTAAGTCATAAATCGTTCAGATTTTAAAAAACATGACATTTTTTTATGACACACATTTTTTGCAAGTCATAAATTAGCGTGTGTCATCGTTCGTGAGTCATTAAAGGTATATTTTCTTATAGTGAGACAAGTTTTTAATTTATCTTTTTTAATATGTTTTTCTTCATCTTTGCCTAAACTCTAACCCCTTGTGTTAGCTATCTCTTCATCTTCTTCATCACCGATCATCTATGTTCTACTTTCAAACATTCTTTATTAATATATAAAATAATCTAATATGATCCACCCCAAATCTGAAGGATTAAGTGTCACGTGAAACCATCAAAGTGATTAATCATTTTTTAAACCATTTACTCAATATAATAGTCATAACCATAATCATAAGTAAAATCATAAGTTTAATATCCACAAGCACTAAGTTTTGAAAGGGAAGCTCCAAACATTACATCCCAAAATATAATAATAAATATATCAAAACAAAGTTACCACTCAAATATACATAAAGTAAATGAATAATACATGCCCTATGACAATATCCAAGACGTATTCTAATAGCTCGATCAATATGAAATCTCGAATCCAACAATAAGTTCATCGAATGTCCACCTAAGAACACGTGGACAGAAACACATTTCAAACTTTGACTAACGAGCTTAGTGTCGCACAAATAACTCTACTATACTACATGCATTCATCATATTAGCATGCCAACAAGTATAGTTGTTAACAATATATATGCATCACGCGTACAAAACATAACTAAGCATCATGATGTAGTCTGAGGTCATTCAACATAATGAGACTCACACTCCTCTAGCTTATGATAAAGGTACTCTAGATAAGATCTAGGTCATATAGCATCAACATCTAATACGTGAGTAGTCTATTTCTCTAGAGTATTCTAGATAAGTTTGGGTAACCTGAACATTGGAGTAACATCCGACTAGCATTATATATACCATAATACTAATTTGGATATATTCAAATATTTATCATACAAACAAGACGATTTTCATACACAAGTAACTTGGGTTTCCTTATCGTTTCACGAGTGTTAAACAAATGCATAAGTCTAATAGAATCTTACCTCATAATATTCTTATTTTTAATCGCATACATTTAATCAATGTTTCCACTTTCAAGCTTTTAATAGTGTTCAAGACATCTCTAAACTTCTTACTCAAGTATTTCATTGAAACAAAGTTTTCTAGCCATTCCTCCAAGTTGGTATCGATACCTACATTTTGGTATTGATACCAAACCTAAGGTATCAATACTTACTGTAACACCCCAATTTAGGGGCTAAATTTAAGAAAATATAAATTGGTGGATTTAATTTGGTATTTTGAAAGAAACAGGGGATTAAATTGTAAAGTTCTAAAGTTGGCAGACCGTTTTCAGAAGTGCAGAAAGTTCAGTGGCTAAACCCATGATTTAACCATTTTTTTAATATGTTGAATTATAAATCTGATTCTCGTGCGCAGGCAGCAGAAATTTTCCAGATTTCCCTTCTCCAGCAACCCAACTTCCAACTCCGATCTACTCGCCGTCCGACCTCCAAACGACGAGCCGAAACAACCATCGTGTTCGTTGTCAACCGAGGAACAAAACCCCTCAAACCTTTCGTCGTGAATCATCGCCGTTCGTCGTGAATTTCAGTCGGAAGTATCGTCGGTAATAACTCGGTTTTAGTTGGTTTTTCATCGATTCACAACGATCGGGTCATCTGTTTACGACACCTCCCGCACCATCGTGTTCCTTGTGCCGTTCCGAGTCCACCGGTGTTCTCCTTTTTCTCCGGCGGCGGCGGCGCGTTGGGAGGTGAACCGGTCAAACTTCTCGATTTGTTGAAATCAAGCTCTCCACCGTTCAAAATTGTGAACCGAGCTTTGTAAGTATCTCGAAATCGCTCAAAATAATTTTTAGAAATTTTTCCGGGATTTTATCACTGTTCACGCGCCCCCACGCGCCGCCACTGCGCGTGGGGAAGGGAAAAGTGACCGGTTTGACCGGTTTTGGAACTGTTTTGACCGGTTTGACCGGTCACAACCCGACCCGACCCGTTTACCCGAACCGACCCATTTACCCGACCCGTTGACCCGTTGACCCGACCCGTTGACCGTTGACCCGTTGACCGTTGACCGGAGTTGACCACTGTTGACCAAAACTTTGACTGGCTTTGATCGGGCATTAAACGACCTTTGACTTCAACCGAGTATACCTATCCTGACATTTTTCGACGTTCCAAATCCGATTCCGCTGTCCGTTTTTCGAAATTCGAACCCGAAGGCCTCGAAATTGTCAGTCAAACCCGTTGACTTTGATTTTGACCAAAAATTCCAAATTTCCGAAAAGTCATATTTTATGCTTTCGACGTCCTGAATCCGAATCCGAAGTCCGTTTCGCCAAATTCGAACTCGGTAAGCCGTCTTTCACTGATTTATCACCCGATTCGATCCGTTTATCGTAATTAAGCTCCGTTTCTGATATAATTTATGTTGATATGTATCTGAGGAATTATTGGAAGTTGAATTGAAGATCAAAGGCGTTCGAATGGAATTTTTATGGTCGATGAGTATTGCACGGAAATCGAGGTAATACTTTACTACCTCTTTATGCTTTATAGAACATGTTGGTATTGGTAAATGCATGAATGCAAATGTTTGGTCTCATATGTGTAATTAATGAAGTTCTACACTCGATCTGAATACGGTAAAAAGGTTCAGTAATTGATTATGGTTCAGATGACTTTTATAA